ACAGGTATGTGCTTGTGGAGAAATCTTCGACCTTATTAATTCAAAATATCTAAAAGTCTGTTGCTAGAGCCAAAGTCCTATAAAAAGTGATATTCCCTGAAAAGCCTTCCCATCGTGGCCCATCTACAGATCTGGGCACATGCACTTGCCATCAAAGAAGAAAAGTCAATTTGCAAATGACTGTCACAAGTCATACATACCTCACAGATACATGAACATGCACCTGAAAAATTTCATGAAAATACAATCACAGTTTTGAATACATTAGGTATTATGATTGTTTAGACAAATGCTTTCTATTTAAAGGGATGTTTGGAAGGCATACTAGGGTTAATGAACAGGCTGCTCATAGCTGGGGGTGACTGGCACGTAACTCTACCAGCACACTGGCTGGAAAGTTCAATTCAGAGGGCTCTCTGGACAAATCATTTTTAAGGGTGAGAAATATCTCTTATAAAAACAAAAAAAAAATCTCCTTAACTGATCTGTCAAATACATTTCATATTTCCATATGTCAGGTTTATGTCAACTGAGATAGACATGTATTTTTTTGTTTGATTGCAATTATATTTTTCAGAATGACTTATACCAAAAAAATGCTAATTTCCATATTGGCTTGGTCCACACTCATCAAGATTCTAATCCAATCCCAAAGCAGAAAATAAAACCAAAGCTATTATTCAATGCAGTGATTCTACCTCCATGCATAGACCATATATGTGTACATGCAGAGACACTGGACTTCTTTATTAGCACATGGAATGGAAGGGAATAGAAATAGTATTACAGTGTCAGAGAGAATAAATCACTCCACTGTAAATTTACTTGCTTTTTTTTGCACCGCCCCCACCCCACCACCCTTAGAATGTAGTGGAGAAAGAGATCTGCATCTGTCTTGTCCTACTGCTATGTTCCCTGACATTGCTTGGCACATAGTAGATACTCAATAAATAGCTGTTAAATTTAACTGAATCCACAGGATCGAAACAAATTATCACTCATTGATTCTACGCTTGGAAAAGAAGGAAATCTGAGACATGCAGCAGGACTATCAATTTCCCTCAGTTCCACTGGCTATTTTATTTCCTACTTAGAACCTAACTCTGATATTCACTGCACCCAGTAACTCTGTTGCTTTCTGGTCAGCCTCTAATTCCTGCAGCTCATGCAGACATGAACTTGGGCCTCCTTAAAGCAGGCTGGGACAAATGTTAACTTCTTCCCAGAACCTAGAAATGGCTAAGATCTCTGTGGAATAATATTTCTAAGTATTCACCATACCGGAATCAATATCAGTATGCTGTCAGTGTGTGCATTAGCCCCACAGTCAAACAAAGAACAGCCTTTACAGCCCAGTAATGATGCTGGGTGTGGAGAGCTGGGGAAGGGCAAGATGATGCAGAGATGACTGTATCAGTTCTCCTCAAACACAAGGCTTCCAGGATGTTGCACAAGACCATATTCTTCTACTTTGTCAGAAATAGGCAGCATTTAAATTCAGCTACTAATACTTTCAGCAAAATAACTCTTTTATCTTCTTGACCCAAGAGATGGATTCAAAATACCCCTTCCTGGCTGTGACAGAAGTTTCCTCTTCTATTTCTTTCTAGGTGTTAACAGGGAATGGAAATGTCTTAAAGTTAGCAGGGCACTACAAATGTAGCTGATAAGACAGGTATGACAAACTTGAATCATCACTGAGTCAGGTAAGACCTGTTTTTAGGACAACTCCATCATGCCCATGCTTATCCATGTAGCATTTCCCATTCGCAGATCCTGCTAGAAAGATACGTCAGGCAAGGGTAGTGGCAAAGGCTTTGAGCATCAATTCTGCATTACTTAAATCTGTAAGATCAGAGTGGCATCTGACCAAGATTCATGCTCATCCCTGCAGTAAAACTGATCTTAGTGTTGTAAATGAGATTTCATTCTACACATGAAATCTGATTTTCCAACTAGAATGGGGTTGGGGAGAGATAAGTGTGATAGAGTAAAGATGACTGCTCTTATGTTATACACAGTTAGGATGCCATAAAACTTAGATGACTGTGGGTAAGCAGGTGGGCATCACATTCAAATTACATAAGTTTGGAATCCTGGCCCAACCACTTATTAACTATATGACCTTAGCCAAATTTGGTAACCTGGCTAAGACCTGGTTTCTGCAAAATGTGATTAATAACACCTAATCCTATAAAATGAAATTGTTACTCTCTACCTCCTGATGTCATAATGAAGGCTAAAGAAAATATATACAATGTGTAGTCCAGTGCCTGATACATAATAAGAACTGAATAAATGACATAAATGATAGTTGTGGGTGTTACAATTTTTCTTTATCATCCTATCATGGCCTAGTTATCCACAAGAATTAACTTCCTTGTAACTCTATAATTCAGTGAAAAGAGCCACAACCAAAAGCACGGAGGAGGCTAGCTTCTTGTGAGGCTTCTGTGGTCTAAACTTGGCCACACAGTAAATATGGTCTTGATGATCTTTCACTCATCACTGTGAAACTAAATTCTTTAAATTCTAGAAAGTTTCAGAGAAACGCCACAAAATGCAGCCACAGAGCAATCTCTCCCCTTCCCCCATACACACCCCACCCCACCCACCCCTTGGGGATATATTAAAACTAAGACAACTGAAACAGCCTCAGCCAGTAATTAAGACACACAGCTAATCAGAGAGCAGCACTGGCTGTGGCCCTCGGCAGAGAAGCCCAGCACCCAGGATGGTAGCTCCCATTACTAGGGCTTTGTTCTCCTGGAGTGAAAAGAGCACAAAAGCCTAAAGTTGGGGGTCTGCAATCGCATTCTGAACATCTGCAGGGGCGAGGAGAGATCACAGGCTCCTCTAAACTGCAAGGATGTCCTACCAGACAACTGCGTCAGCCCACACCCACCAGCGCCTTCCCCACCCTCCAAGCATGACTCCACTTTTTCTAACATTGCCCTTAAGGATTCTGGCTTCTGTGACTTCCAGTAATTGTACAAATCACCCATGATGAAGCAGTTGAGAGCACTGTTAGACAAAAGAGACAAAAATTAAGCAAATAGGAAACTCATTAAAATGCTGCCTATGGTTATTTTTATTCATAGCAATTCATGTTACCGACCAAGTCTTTCTTCAGAGCTTTTCCTTGGAAGTAATACTTTAAACGAATTCCAATGGGCACTGAGTGATTTTCTCCAGACCCATAATCCAGCCACTAGACACACTTTCCCCTCCCCCATACCATCCAGCACTCCTCCCTGTCACCTTACAGCTACTGACTTAGCTGTGTTCACACCCAGAGGTCCCAGCAGAGCTTTCTGTTCACATTATACAACATAAAAAAGCAGGCAATGAACAACCCATGCTCGTAAGTGCTTGCGATAAAGCCAGGCTGAGCTGACCTCTCCCATCCCATTCAGCTGCATATCAGCCACATAAGCCTAAAGGACCAAGAGCAGCATGTGTGTGATGTGTATAAACAAACTAATTAAAATCCAAGGTCTTTCATTCCAGCTAGTGCCTAATGGGACCAATATGCTCGACTCTGCGGGAAAAAAAAAAAAAAGAAAAGAAAAAAATCACTCCAAGCTGGGAAGAGGTATTGCTTTTCCTGTTTCCTGTAATACATTTCTTTTAGGCTCAATAAACAGCCTGAAAGAAGAGGAACTCAAAGACGGCCATTCTCTCCTGTGAGACTTTTCAAGTAAAAACTATCAGCTTGGCAGCACTGAGCCAAAAGACCACTCCCTGATTCCAAGTGGACATATTGATCAATTGAACTGACATGTGCCTCCTTTCTCTTCCTTAGTAGCAATCAGCTGCACCGGGAAAATCTGTTTCCCAACACAAAAGGCAACTCACTGCTCCTTATCAAATACTGTCAGGTTATATTTTTCAGAAAAAAAAAATAATAATAATGAAGAGGTCTAAAGACAGAGCTAGGAGTTTAAAAAAGCATGATACATGGAGTTTCAGAATTGAGTTGAGGTTATGACTGAGCCCAGAGATCTGTAATCGCCACAATCACTGAGGACTCTGCTATTTATTCATCTTATTAGATTCTGGTTAAAGTTAAGCAAAAAGTAGCAACACCACTGCCACTTCCAGAGGCCTCCTCAGTGTTACCCTTCACTGCAACTGCCGCAGACAGGAGACTTGTTACAAGTCAGCCTGCAAATAACTCCAGCTATTTTAAAGGCTAGCTAGAGATGGAAAAATATCGTGGCAGTCTTTCAACTAACTATGAAGGACATGGGTTGAAGGACTACCATCTAAATCAAAAGGCTCAAATGATTTCACTTGGTTTGGGTCTTAATGTTTTTATTAAATTCTCTATCTTGAACATGCAAGAGATCTTCTTTCACATCAGGGTTATGTCAGATGCTTATTCAGCATTCATTCCTTGCTATGAAGAAACTGAAACCCAACCGAGGTAAATACTGAATTTCATGCTGTAAATCACTTAGTATTTTATAAATCACAAGAGCAAATAGGGGACCAATTAGCTCTGCCCCATAAAAAAGAAATATATATCCTTATAATGTCTAAATACTGTGAATTGCTCAATACAGAGTCTGTTTGGGGTTTTGCAATAGAAAAATATCTTATGTTTATGAAAAATTCCACGAGAATACTAAAAATACTAGGTAGAGATCAAACAAGAATAATTCTACACATTTTGATTCCTGTATGACTCTTATAGGCCTTTGTCTTAACCCAGCAGCAGCCTGAAAACAGATTTAGGTAAAACAGCCCTTCTTTCCCTAGTCCATTTTAAGCAGACAACATCCCCCCATCTCCGCCTCAGCAGACACAGACTAACCAAGAAAACAGCCGTGCAATTAAGGCCCAGACATTTAACACTCACCATCTCCTGCTCCCACCGTCTTCTTTTGATGTTTACAGCACATCTGTAGGATGCAATACTAGGAGATGCCTTGTTTGACCTGCTGCATGATGCTGTGACATCAGTTCAGATGATGCAGCTCATTATGGGAAAGACTGCTGTTGCTATGGTAACTGGGATGTGCTAGGAATCCTTGCTGCATTTCCAGTGGAGGCTGAGACAATACGGAAGCCCTGTAAGAAACAGACGATATGCAAAATTTAGACCAGAGGAAGAGGATCCCTCATTGGACTAAAATCCATAGGTTTAAAAGGGATTTCCCTGAAGTCACTTTGGAAAAAAATAAAAACTACCTCCTAATTGTTGTTCCACACTTAGAAAAGGAGGCTGGGGGATCAGATTTAGTACTAAACAAATAAAAATACAAATGTACAATGTTTCTCTGTGAGGCAATTTGCTCACTTTTTCCCCCTCTGGAAAGCATTACAATACCTTTTTTAAAAGTTATTGAAAAGAATTTTTTTCATTTGTCAAAGACCAAAAGAACAAAGCAAGCAACAGAAAAACAATTAAAAACGGAATATAAACAGCTGAGAAAGCGACTCTAATTCTAAAGTAAATAGCCTTTCATTCTCAGAATATGGGCAAACTCCCACCAACGAAGTCTGCCCTAATCATTTCCCCTGATGGACACCAGCCTACAGAACCTTCTCATGCACAGTAGCCCCAGATCTCATTAGGCCCACGGAAGGAGGTTTAGAATCGAGGCGACACATCGTATCACTTTCAACTTCTAGAGAACACCTACCACTCTTTTCTGGGACCAAACCTGGTAGTTGGAACAAATGGCAGACCTGCTAGGAACTTCCTGAATCACTGGCATTCCAAACATTAGGGTTCTGTTTTCCTCTCTATGGGACAATAAGACACACAGGAGGAAAATACTCACAGCCCTCCCCGAACAAAAGCTGAAACTGTGTGAAAAGCCACATTTAAACAGACCCAGTGAAGTATTTCTCCAGTTCATGAAAGAAAAGCAAATCTAAAGCAATCATTTCTTTCCAGCCCTGAGCAGAAACAAACATATGATGCGAACTGAGGAGAAGGAAAAATGGAAAAATCAGCCATCTCTTGCATATTTAATGGATAGAGAGAAAATCAAGCTGACCTACATCTACTCTGTCCTCACAACTCTGGAGAAGAACAAGATTCTAAAACTCCGAAACTGAATGAGACAATTACATTGTCGCCTCCTACTTGAGATTTTCAATGCCATTGTTAACCAACAGTGGGGAGCGGTGGGGAGGTGTATGGAGTGGCAGAAGGAATTAAGGCAGTGGCTCAGTAAATAGGGGCTGATAAAATGCCAGAGAGGTGCCAAGATCCTAGCAGGGTGTACTATCAGCCAGGCACAGAGCATCCTTTCTCTGGATGGAAAGCCAGAATTGTTCTTGCTTCACCTAATGAGGAATTGGGAGACCAAGAGCAAAAGGTGAAGCTGCCTGCCCAAATCAGCCATGCTCTCAGTCATGGCAGAGCCTGATTCTCACTCCTTCTCTTAGACCACACTAAGGGAAGTAACAGGCAGCCACTGTAGTGCCAATAGTATTGATTTGGCATTAAGGAAACCCAAATGTTAATGCCAGTTCCTCCAGTGAGCATCTGTGTAATATCAGGTCAATCAATTAACCTCTCTGAGACTCAAGGTTTTCATCTGCAGAGATGATGGATTTAGCTAATAACCATGGTTTGCAAGTTTTTTGGTTAGTAGTAGAACCCATTCTTCTAACATTACAGACCAAAGCTGGGTGTCTCTGGTTGAAAGGGGTAAGAAGCCCAGAGCCAAGGCTGATGAGCCCTTCTCAACAACATCCCCCATCTTATCTGCTATAATCTGACCCCTGAAGTCACCTCTGATAAACTCCTCAACCTCTGAGGAAGATGGAGTGAAAACCATGGGTCTACAACAATATTATCAGCTTTTCCATAGCTGAAATCCATGGTTCTACAAAACGGAGAGAGCAGGGTGGGATCAGGGGTTCCAGACTTAAATATGACTTCTCAGTATGAGAAGAATCTTATCAGTCTCCCTTGCCAGAAGCAAGTCATTTGTTTGGTTGGAAAAGATGGATGTCTCATCAACTCTAAGGCCAAGTTAGACTTTTAACAACCCGAAGTTGCTAAATAACTGGTCCCCAAAATGGCGTGGACTGGCTTAAAAGTGGACCCATAAAGCAGTAGCATGTCACCAAGTGTTTTCTTGCCTTATGAATGGGCCTATAGTAGCTCACCATGAACTTTTCGATGGCCTTTCTCACTGCCTTCACATCCTCGACTTGTAGTGTTGTTTTGAGGATTGCAGGCAATAATGTATATAAAAGTACCACAGAAATATTGAACCTTATTAATATTTTCATTAACAGCCATTCACCCCAATCAGGGAAGCTCTTTAGCTCTCATCTGTAGGTCCAGCAAGATTCTGAACTCTGGAATAAGATGGTTAGGAAATGGCTTACAAAGTCCTCACAGCTACCAAAGAGTATTTACTTCTCACCACTCACTTCAAATGAGGTCAAGGAAGGTAACAGACAAGGGGTCTTCCCAGAGGACAGAGCCAGGGCCATGGACAGAATGGATAAATAGCTCCTCTTGGAGAACAGAGTCAGGGCCAGACCAAGGGAATTCTCCTACTTTCAGGGAGCCATTTTTACTAACCAAGGATCTTTTTTACCTTAACCAGTGTTATCTGGAAATATTGTTGACATTTTATAATTTTCAGGTTTCCAGAAGAACAGAGTAACAGAGTTAAGCAAAGGTCAAATTCTCATGCAGAAGGAAAAAGGGTTTAATTAATCCTTTACTGACAATGCCCAATTCTGCATTTCTGGCTTCAAAATTGACCTTCGTTCACAAAGTATACAAGTATTCAAGTGCTCTAGCCACAGGCCTATATGGCCATGTACCATGGAAGCTGTAGATACTGCTTTAATCAGTACAGTAAACCTTCTGAGAATATTTGGTGGCAAAAAATATTTGGACACCAAATTACAGGGGGCATATGTGGCTCTTATTGTTGTTGAAGCACAGCATCCCTTCTACTTTTTTCAGATATCCATACAAAGCAGATATTATTACCTGAAAATTATTCATCACTGGTGATCAGAATAAAATTTGCAATCATAATATTAATACATAAGCTCAGTTATTATTGTTGCTACCTGATGTTTGGATTTATTATTTCCTCTCAGACATCACCTCTTCCATATTCTAACTTATTTGCTTTGGGTGGGACTCCAACCAAGGAATGCAGAATGCCACTCAGTCTTAAGCCAATCAGCTTTTTATATCCTCCGAATGTACAGAATTTAGTTCAGAGATGGTAAGGGACCCCACTGAAGCCAATGAGATGCAATGAGACATCGTAAAGAAATCACTGTTGGCCGCTGATTTGGAGAGGATGTCAAATCTAAAGCTGACCATCTGTTTGCCATTCAAGAGTGAAGAACCTGTCTAAGAATAAAGTCAACAGGGGGAGAGCAGAGCTGAACTGAGAGATAAGAAACTGAGTTCTGGTGACACAGCTGGAGCCAGAAATCAGCCCTTCTCTGGCTCTGTAGGTTGTAAGAACCAAAAAGCCCCTTTTTCTGCTTCGGCTCGTTCATTTAGGGATTTCAGTCACAGTAAACAGAGCCCTAACTGACCCAGTCATCAGAGAAATTGTCTAAGGTATAACTGGGCACCATTGGCATGAAGAGTCCTTGGAAAGAAGAAAAGAAGCTTGAGTTCTGGAGGGGTTCATGGGCCTCAGCAATGAGACCCCTCAAAGGGCTAGGGTCAAGGCCAGAGCTGGCAAGACCTCCCCACAAGATGCAAGGTGTTATTCATCTCTTCTGCTGGACATTCCTGGATTTGACAGTGACCTCACACTCCAGTCAGCTTGAGCCCCATTCCTCTGTCCTTTTTCAGGCAAAATTCCCATCAGCAAAGGCCAAAAAGCCTCCAAAAGCCCAGGGAAGGATGGATTTGATCCTGAATGAAAATCTAGATTTGGAGCCTGAAGCAAACCTTGGGGTGATTTTTTCCAAAGAAACTAGCTTCAACATGTTCAGAGATTTCTGTCATCTTCTAAATTTAAGATTTTTCTCATGCCTGACTTTAGAGTTAATACAGTTTGCTGCTTCATTAGATTTAACTCCAAACACAAATATGTGACATGAAACCAAGTGGCTTTAATGTGCTGGTAGAGGTCCAGTAGTGCTGTGTTATACAGAGGAAGGAAAACATTCAGGACCAACATATGAAGCAGGGGTTTATGAGCTGTTTAAACTCTGCAATGGAATTTCTGGGGCTTTCCTGTTTTGATATTTAATTTTTTATAGGTCTTAATCTTATCTACTCAAGTACACAGCTCTTTAGGGTACTAACCATGTCCTGTGCTACTTTTGATTTCTCCATAACCTTTAGCACACTCTTAGACATAGGTAATCCCCTAACAAGTCCTTCTTAATTCTTAATTTCTTTTTTGTTCAAGTAACATTGTTTCCATTCCAGGCAAAGAAAAATTTCCTAGCAGCTTTCTCCTTATCACTCCAGAGTTTGAAATGTTATAAGATTTTACTAAGGCCTAATCTTTTTCCCTTCCACTGCTAACTAAAATAACAAAAATCAATTTGCTACTGAGAAGATCTGGCCAAAAATGATAAAGCAAGTCAGCAAACAAACATCCACCAGGTGCCATCAGAGACAGAGGAAGTAGTGGTCATGATACCTACTTCAAATTATTTACAACTGAGTCTTTTAACTACCATAGCATTTTCAGCTCACAGTCTTTTAAACTAGATCCCTCACCTTACCTGAGAAAAATTATGAATAAAATAACTAACCCTCATTTATAGATATTCTCTCAGCATAAGCATAATACATTCTAGAAAGATGGAATCTTCCAAGATAACTTTAATTAGAAAAAGTGATTCCTTTTCCTATGGAAAAGAAACAAATTACATCATACCTTCATATGGAAAATTCCTACAGTAAATACTACACTTAAGGGTTCACTATAACAAAGTCACAGGCAGCTCTGATAAGAGATTTGTTTACAAGGTATTAACATATGTTTAGTGAATAATCCAATTCAATAAATGTACTCTTATAATTTTACTCTATATAAAGTACAGAGTCACACACCATTGGTAAAGTAATCTTCATTTGCTAGGGTGCGAGGAAACAAATGAGAGAACTGAAATCTTGCAACCTATTACAAGCATCAACTGGTTTTACCTCTCGCTGAGTCCTTACATCAGCCTGCCTTATATTCCATTAACTGGATGCATATCTGTTATAAACAACTTTAACCATCTTCAGGGCAAAGACTATGTCTTACAGAGCAGAGTAGGTTGTGTAGCAAACACTTGTGTACACTGCCTATTAAATGCTTCTTTACCTGAGTTTATCAAGCTCAGAGCCTTAATCCTGGCCAGCTAAAGACATGCAATCAAAAACTCCCAAACCACCAATCAAAGATAAATGTATATGCACATAAACACGTACACATACACACGCAGTTTCGCAAGGTATATATACATATACCAATTCATCACATTGTACACAATAAATATATTATAATTTTATCTCTCAATCATACCTCAAAAAAGCTGAGGAGGGAGGAGAAAATAATAACAATAACAAAAAAGACACCCAGATCTTTTATGGAATTTAGCCTAGTGTTTCCAAACTAATACAAGATTAAAATACATGAGGACCTATTTCAGTTGGTGCCCTGGCCCTTGGCTTAATGTCTTAAAACACCCAAGAAATGCGGTATAACTATAGACAGTACCTGCTGTGATTAGTCAGCACTTTGATAACGTGTCGTAGAGGTTTTAAAATGTTAGTGATGTGCTCTAGAATATCACTAACAGTACATGCGATGAGCTACACTGAAGAAAAAAGATGATGTTCCAAGATAAAAATGGGCCAGCACCATTTATCTATGTGGGACTCCAAGTGGTAATTTAAAGAAGTAAATAGCATTCCCCGATACACAAAGTGGCGCCATTCTGAGCACAGCTTCTGATGCTTTGTGGGCTCCCAGGTACTGGTGGGTTTTGAAATCAGCATTGGAAACCTTCTGCAGGAGACAGCCTTTGAGTAACTGTCACACAGAAAGTGAGATTTGAGGACAGTCTAAGTCCCACCCACCCATGATCTCCCTCACCAACCTGCTCTGGTTCCTAAATTACCTCAGAATCCACTCCACTCTGTTGGAAGCTAATGAATGTTTCAGAGGAGAGGCATCACCATCTGCCATCCACAGCCATTGATACCTGCAAGGCAGTGCAGGCTGTGGGACAGGCACTAAGTAGACAAATGGAAAGACAAATAGGTTGAAGACCCACCACTAACAAGCCATGGGAAACCAGACAAGGCATCAACCTCTCTCAGATATCTCATCTGTAAAATGAGGAAGAACTGCTCTGCTTACCAACATTGCTATGAGAGTCTAAGAAGTAAAATGCAGTATTTGTAAGTGTGGTAATAAAGAGGGAAAGGAGGAAATGGATAAAAGGGAAGAGAAAAAGAAAACACTGGAAAGGAAAAGAGAAGGAAGAAAAATAAGAAAAGAAAGAAGGAGAGAGGTAAGTAAAAGACAGAGGAATAAGGAGGAGAAAAAGGGGCAGAGAAAAGGGAGGGAGGGAGGAAGGAAAAGAGCAACAGAAATGAGGGAAAGCGGAAGGAGAGAAGCAAACCGAAGGCAAAAAGGGCAAAGAGGAAGAAAAGGCAGTGAAGGAAGGTAGGCTTTGGAACCTGG